ATCGAGTGCGCGGTGTTTCCATATATATCTGTTGCATTTGGCAATGTTGTGACCTTTTGATAAAAAATAATGTGAAAAACTCGATTGCTTTTGTGTTGTTTATTTGGAACGAACTTTTGAAATGGAATTCCTATTGTTTGGAGTGGATTTGTAAGCATAATTGGATTCAACTATATTTCAAATTTCTAAATTTATTGTTCGGAGATTTCTTGAAAATTTATTGACTTCCATGCAATTGGGAATTTACAGAAGTATTATTAAATTTTACCCAATTTCGTTATGCCAAATTCAAAGAGAATTTGGTTCCAAAAAGAATTATCATCCATTTTCATTTATGGAATTGAGTGGCAAGGATTTTAAATCCACGTTGAAATTCAAATTTGTAAAATTCATTGATAGAAATAAATAGTGTGCAATAAGATGGAAAAGTCAAGGCCTAAAAAGGGGGTGCTCTCTTTTCAAATCCTTTGATTTTGCATCCTCAATTTCGTTTATGGATTTATCCGAATTTGAAATCCATCTGAACAGTAGACATTTTTTTTTTTTCTTGCTATGTGTTTGTTTCTAATGAACCGAATTAAAAATGAAATCGAATTGAACTAGATTTTAAATTTCAAAATGCAATTATTCTGAAATTCATTGAAATATTATCTACTTTCATGGGATTTTGAATTTACTACAATATCATTGACAGCTTATCTAATTTTTACCCTTAGTATTTTAAATTTCAGTTTATTTCAAAGGCACAAATGAAATTTCATTTTATATAGGGTAAACTACATTAAACCCCCCTTTTCTATCTGTGTTTTTCATTAAACCACTTTTTTTATATTTTTTTTGCCAAAAAACCCCCCTCAACTATTCAAGGGGGTGATTTAACTAATGGAAGTTAATTGAAAGAGAACTGAAATATAAATTGATTTAAATACCGATTAAAGCCTATTTGAAAATCTACTTTGCTTCTTCTTTTTTTTTTTATTAAATAACCTAAACGACGTCATTTACACAAATTAACACTTCTATTATTTTTTTTGTTTTAACATTTTACTAAACTGACAAGTTCACATTAGTCACATACATGGAAGGAATTTTTTATTTTTTTTATAGAAAAAAATAAAACATGTAGGCATAAAAATTTAATATAAAAAAGGAAAAAAATTAGGCATTATTTCTCGTAGCGTCCCTTTAATAAATCTATATAAAATGAAAATCACTAAAACCAAATAAATAAATGCACAATATAATTCTCATATATATCTAGGTACAAGGATATTTTTGTCTAAAAAATATGTGAGGGTATATTAAAATAGGTACAAGGATATTTTTGTCTAAAAAATATATGAGAAACTAAATGTCCAAACAGCTCCCTTTCAGCTAACTTTCGTTAGTTAAATCACCCCCCTCGAATAGTTGAGGGAGGTTTATTGACAAAAAAATAGAAAAGGGGGGTTTAATGTAGTTCACCCTTTTATATATAATTAAGTGAATATTTTTATTTGAGTAAATTACATTCACCTCCCCACTAGTTAGCTAAAAGCTAAAACAATTCCCCTCAATATCTAAGAATATCGTTTAGCTCCCCTCCCCTAAAATGGATGTTTATATGAAAAGCAGTGCATGCTATCAATTTTTTTATGAGAAGCACTGCATATATTATCAATTTACAAGGATGCATACCGTAAATTTAGGGTTTGGGTTCAAACTGTTGATTCATCACTTATTGTTATTTATTGTGAATGTAACCATGAATGGAGCAATTTGGTGCAAGCGCGTTGGTATGTGGATTCCCTGTAAATTACAACATGACAGATGAATTGGGAGCATTGCTTGTAAATCTTCATGGTCGAAGGTTATATAACAGCAATGAGTAAATCGGTTGTTTTGATTTTTTATTTAATTTTTTAAAAGGTTACATAGGTCTTTTGACAAAATTAGAGGGCAGTATGGACTTTCGGAATTCTCATCAGGCTGCATCATGAGTTAATAGCATTGACCAACTTTGACTTGTACGGATATTAATCTTAAGACCGGGGAGGTAAATGATATTATGGAAAATTAAGGGGAGTCATTTGAACTTTTAGCTAACTAGAGGGGAGGTGAACATAATTTACCCTTTTTATTTTTATTTTGCAAAGAATAGTAAAGAATTGTATAAAAAGTAACTAGAATTTTTTTTTTTTTTTTTTTGCGCACCCAACGTGTAGGAAATTCCTACTTACAATAAAATAGTGACTTAGGCACTGCAATTATCGAATTCAATTTATGTGAGAAGAGTGGTGAGTTTCATCAAATGACCCATATAATGAGTCCCACCCCAGTCATATAAATTAAATTCGATAACTAATGAATTCAATTCTTAAATTATTATTTCTCTGAAAAAATAAGGTGACATGAGCTATTTTTAAATAAATTTTTTGGGCTTCTTGTTCTATTCTTGAGAAGGTTGCTGATAAGCTAAAGGTCTAACTGTGAATGAGAAGTATATTTAAGGGTATAATTTGAAGCTCCAAAAATTACAGAAAATGGCGAAAGAGAACAATTTGGGTTCATTTTGTGTCAATTGTCAAATAATATGGCACGTGGTACTTTTATATGGATTAAATATGATTAATTTATACGGTATTTATGTTCATAAGAGTAATGAAAATATGAATTTGGTCAGGATGTGATGTGAAAATAAAAAACTGAATTCAAAGTGGTCCTCCCAACAAAAAAAAAAAAGGTTAAGTTCAAAGATGTTGGCTGATACACACAGATAGAATGTCTTTTCAAATCTTTTACATTTTAAGGACGCTTGCACCTTATTTCTCGATGATGAGTATAAACACAATGATAGGTAGACAAGTATTGTTCGAATTAGTAAAGGTTAATACTCCATACTTCATACTACATAGCTAAGTAGTTATACGGCATCTAAAGTACGGAATATACAAAAATGTTCACATTTTCATTTTTAGGTGTTCAAAAATAATTGTCCCAATTTAAAATCTAATGTACTATTTTTCTTCCCAAATGGAACTATGGTTCAGCGATGCTTCTCAAGCATTGCCAATTTTGATGCCCAAGGCAAAAGCTTTGAAGGAGGGCTTTGTTTTTTTAAAGGCCTTTTTTATTGTAAAAATTACTGAATAAGGTAATTAGTAGGGCTGCAACTCGGGTGAACCCAATTTGAAATAACCCAAGCCCAACCCAAAATATTGTGGGCTTGGGCAATATATTTTTTAAAATTTTGGTTTGGCTCTGGGCTATATATTTTGAGCCCGAATTCAATTTGATTTGGGCTTGGGTTGATATGAATGAAGCTTCAAGTTCCATTCGAACCTGAAAATATTATATATATTTATAACTAGAATTAAATCACTAGGCTGTGATAGCCAAGTTGGTAGTGCGTTAAAAAATTTGTTGAAGCTTTCAAGTTCAAGTTTTGGGAGCAGCATTAAATTGGTGCGGCACTGGACTAGTTATGTATGGGTTTTAGGCTGAAGATTTTTTACATGGGCCAAGCCCAAGATGTTGCAGCCTTAATAATTAGGCCTTCTCCTATATTTTTTTTTTTTTTGTTTGAGTCATACTACCATGAAGTCTACCTCATAATACTTTCCACGGTCTCTTTGTCCTATCATAGAAAAAGGTTTTCTTCAAGCGAACCAGCCTATCCTTTGTATGGGGCTTACATGGCGGTTAGAACAAAGAAACATTTGGTTATGAATTCCTATATCTACACAAACGAAATTAATAGTTCAAGTCACACAATCCCATAATCCATTTTCTCATCGGTGAATTCCCTTCAACTATTCATGTCAAATAACTAATACAATATTGTAGAGTTGAAGGGCTCATGATACTTTCCACGATTTCTAAATTCTATGTGTTTGGAATAGGATTATATGATCAAATTTTCGTATTACAGTAAATCACAAGAATCAATCAATGCTTTACACTCTTTCAACCAAATTACACTATTGACTTTGGTCATTTCCTATAATTTCATTTTATGGCATTTTAAATTAAATTTTTATTTTTTTTAACAGTGGAATCATTTTGATATTGGCAACCTAGTGATATAATTTGTCTATTATTTTTTTTTACTCAAAATATGCTAATTTGAAAAAACACTTATGATAAATATCATAAAGTAGACCTCACATACTAGCATTACTCTTTTTAAAAAATAAAAATTTAATCAAGGCAGTAACAAAAGATAAAGAGTCATGATGTGAATTCCTGTAGTCGCACAATTCATAAAATAGTCCAATCACTCCGACTATCCATAATATCAGACAATTACTCATTTTGTTACCAAATTATTTTTTGATCTAGATTTGAAATGGGAAAAGGAATTATATTGATTAGAAATCAAATTTCTTTTGTTTGTTTTGAATAAAGTGAAAGTTAAAATACAAGAGATAAAATTGGATAAACGGTCAATTATTCTTAAATACACTCATTTGAATGAAATTTGTTTATTTTAAAATACTACTGATGTGATTTAATCACAAAAACATACATATTCTCTAATCACAAAATTTGAAAAATAATAAATAAAAAAAATGAATCCCCATAAAAACTTGGCTTTTTGAGAAAATTATGGGTTAGCAAGTATTGTATAAGAACCAGATTTGGATATTAGTATTGGATATTAGTAAATGAGAAGACTCAAATCTTCTAATTTTGGAATGGTTCCCTCTGTAAAGATATGAGCTAAGTCATATAAAGTGAAAGCATGAGTGAAAGTATGGGAGGGGCAAAATTTAAATCACACAAAGTGATAATTGGAGTGAGAACGCACACCAAACGTGATATATATATAATTGATTATCATTAATTATAAAAATAAATATTTAAATTTGATATATTATCCATTTAAATCTATATTCTTATCTTTAGTCCCACAATCCTTTTGGACGGATATTTTCATAATTATATATATATATATATATATATATATATATCAGTGTTGTACCCTTTTTTGTCACGACACTTTTCGAAACTCTCTTTAACAAAAAGAATTAAGTGCTTTAGTTAGTTATTAAAGTGTGATTGAAAATGTGACTAGAAGTATGCTCACAAATTAAGTATAGAAAAGTTGGCAAGTGGGGTTAGGAATTATGTTTAATTATTGAGACAAGATGATGGATTGAAGGGGTTATGTCATGGCCAAAGCAGGCAAAAAAAAGAAGAAAAAACATTTAAAGTCGACCATGATGCAATTAAGTCCTCCTGTTTGCAGGAGAGAGAATATATGTTCACACACTATTTTATTTTCACTAGCACTTAATTTTTTTTTAGTTAATTAAATAATAACATAACTATCCTTCAAAACACACTGGCTCTATACATTTTGATTACTCCCATAATTTTTTTTTTTTTTGTTTTTGGGAAGGTGATTACTCCCATAATTTGCAAGCACAAGAATATATATATATATATGTAATATCATTCAAGTATCACATACATACAAAATTAATCTTCAATTTAGACACAACACAAGGGTTCAATTCCTACAAATGTCTCCTGCATCTCAAGTGGATGAACATTTGTAGGCGAAGGAATGTCTTCAGGGTCTCTCTTGGGTTTAACCCACCTACCATGAGCATTGCATTCCAGTCCCTTGTGGGCTAATTGATACCAACATTGAGGAATTCTCAGTTCATCCAAAAGCATATCACAAGCCTTGTTCACTAAAGCAACATCCCTTCGAGCCTCCGACCGAAATGTGGAGCTGCCACTGAGGTACCCATCTATGAGGTGAAGGTAGGTTTCCAAACTATGAAACCCTAGCAAATTGAACCCTCGCTTGAGAAAAGGCGAAGACCGGATATCAAGCTTCAATTCGGCTCCAACATGAGTATATACCCACTCCAGGTTTCCGGTTATGTCATCGAACTTCTGTAAACTTTCATTAAGAACAAGCCCTGGCATTTTAGGGACTATATCTTGTTTCACTACGACCCGTAAAGTTTTAACACCCATTTGATGTATTTCATCACGGAAAGCAATGTTGCCAACCCGAGGTGCACCGTAGGATATGACATTGATGGGGAGGTTAGGAATTGAGGCGGCGGCTTCATAGGCATTGAGGAGAGCCAATGCACCACCTAAGCTATGTCCAGTGATTGTGAGGCTCACTTCTTCACCTCTCTCCTGGTACAAATTCACTAGCCTTGTCACTTCTTTCATGACTTGCTCCGAGGCACTAAACTTATTGTACCTAGTAGTGTCACTCTTAGATGTGTAAATGCTAAGAAACCCATGTTCCACTTTAGCTTCCCCATGCCCAATAGGCTCCAACTTTCTCTGCATATCCTCGTACCACTCTGATGGCGCCACGGTCCCACGCCATGCCACCACGATGTCTCGTCGCCCAATCCTATGCGACTCTTTGTCATCACTGACCGCCACGTAACCCATCCAATTGGAATCTTTGGACCATGTGTCCACTAGGTGGGACCTTTCTAGCCACCGGGGCATGTTAATTTGTGACATGGCATATATGTACTTGCTCACATTGTAACCGTGCTTGTTTAGGCCTAATTTGTCGAAAAGCTTGTGACGATTGTATCTACAACTCCCACAATACTCTGAGAAAGAATCAAAATCGAAAGCATCATACGTTGCTTGCGCGAATTCGCCATACTTGACAATCTCTCGCCTTAGCCAAGGATTGAGTGGGTCAAGAAGGTTGTCCCAATCAAATGAACCATGAATGTCTCTCCATTTATCAGATATGTCTTCCTTAGGAGACATAGTTGGGGTGTTTTGTTTTTCCTCCAAAAGAAAGTTATTCAAATTTGAGATGTGAAGGTTTTTCTGAGCTTGTGTCTCAATATGGAGATGTAGGAGGTTTGAGAATGATTCGGCTAGACGAGTCACCCTGTTTGAAGTTTTTGGATGTGGGAGAGTATCGATTGCAATTTCTTGAAAGGCACAAATTTTGGGTAGTCGATTCTTGCCGGCGTCATGGTGGTGGTGGTGGTGGTGGTGGATGGTGGAGGACACTGCTTTCATGGCGGCCATTTGGTTTAATTTTCTCTAAATATATGTTGATCCCTAGCAGCTGACTTTTAAAGGCTTGGGATTTTGGGTTGCTGAAACTAAGTTTTGAGAGAATGAATTTGAGAGAATGAGGCTGTAAAGAGGTGTATATATATAGTATGTCATAGATGTGTGTATGTACAAGACATTGAAAGTTCAAAGTCGAGTTTCACGACCAAGTTCTAGTCTCTGAACATTTCATTGATCCCGCGTTAACGCGGGTCTTGCTTTTACCGGACGGGGGACAAGGAAACCAGGTTGGCTATTGTTTTGATGGTATATATAACCATTGCACTTGAGGAAATTTCAGAATTGCCACTGAGAATAAATGGAAATACTATGCTTTTTCAATTCATGAATTTATTATATAAGTAAGTGCAAGGTGATAGTTTAGTGATAAAAATTATTATTTCATAGAGGACAGCAGTTTAAATTACTTTGGAAAATTGGAATCATGTTCAGAAATTTTTTACCATAATTATTCGATGCATGTGAGATAAGAAACTTTCTATGTATATATTAAATACTTTAAGAAGCTTGATATCATAATTATAACTGAAAACATATATATTTTTTATATATCTCAAATTACCATACCTGTCTGCCAACCACAACTTAGTAATCTTTCGGTAATTTATTTGAATTTTATTTTAAAAATATATATAATTAGGATATGGTACTAGTGTTCGTTTTAGGTAGAATATTTCAAAATCTAACCTAATTCAACACATTAAATAACCAATTTATATGACTTGTTTTCTTTGAACCTCAATTTTGTAGAAATAAAATAAAATAGGTGTATATTTGAGATTTTATAAATTAGAATTAAAATCCTTAGAACATCAATGATCAACAATTTGTATGACAGGATCCATGGTGCTGTACCCTTCATTGAGTGTAAAAACATTTAAATTGAATCCCATTAATTATTTCATATATACATAAAAATGGAAAAAAAAAACAAAAACAAAAAAAAAACAAAACAAAACAAAAGAAAAAAGGCATGTCATACATAACGTTTGTTCTTCTTCTTCAAACTAAAATGACAGTAAAAAAATAAATAAATAAATAAAATAAAAATTTGGTAAAAGCTTATAGAGATGTATAGTTCACCAAATAACTTCAATGGCGTTTATGCAGTACTTGCTTGAGGAGAGGGGCACTATGGTACTTGGACATCAAACTTTTGTGATGTACGTAAAATGTTGATCAAGTCATCCCCCTAACTTTTGACTTTTGAATGCAGGAAAGAGACAATATAAGAAGAAAGGATTGCTGGGTTGGTTAACTGTGACTTTCAACCCATACACATTCATTTTGCAGGACACACGTGGTCTCACGTGCATTGAAAATACTATTTCACTTAAAATATTCTGAAACTTGTCTCGTGTATTTGAAATGTGAATGTGAGATGTTCAATTTTAACAGGTCGTCCAACCGTCCAAGGGAGACTCAATGTGACAAGTTGATTGGCTGTTATAAGTTTTTATTTCTTTTTGACAAAGGCTACAGACAAGCTATTTCAGTTATTTTACAACCAGAGTCTTGTCCTCTATTGGATTTAGATGTGAACTGTAATATGTAGAAATGGATTAGGTTGGGTTTTAATTTTACTTAACAGTTTATCCTTTTGGGGTCTTTCGATTCTATCCTGAAGGGAAAGTCTTGTTTCATATCAAATTCGAATGTGAAGTGTAACGAATATAAATATGATGGGTGTCAATCTTATTTACCGGATGAAAAGTATAATAAGTATAAATGAATTAAGTGTTAGTTCTATCTAATAATTTAAATTTTTTGGACCTTTTGAGTCTATTCTGAAAGTTATAGCTTCTGTCTTATGATTTTGGGTTGAAGAAGAAGCATTATTGGGTGAAATTTTTCTCAGTAATGAGAATGGTTTATTTATTTATTAAATATTATTAGATGAAATAAATTATATTAATGTTACAAATTTAAAATATAATTAAATTATATATAAGTAGATTATGTAAATTATGAGAAGGCTATTGTCGTCTAATCAAAATTGAAACAAATGATCATTCGGTATCCTTAATAAGAACATTGAACTCATTTTGCTTCATGTAGGAGTAAATTCGGTATCTAAAAATTATTTCACTAACGGACTTAAAATTATTTCACTAACGGACTTAACTCCTTATTAACATTAGGGGTGGTAAGAGTAATTATGCAAAAACTCAAGGGGGTTTACCACATTTCTGAAATACTTTTAATAGTTGATGATAAAGACAAACCTGGAGATCATAGTAATCTGCCCTTCCTCTTTATGTTAAGTAAAAAACTCACCTGCCTCTACAAAGTCTACTTACCCAAAACTAGCAATACAACACCCCCAACCCAAAAAAATAATAATAATAAAAAATAAATAAATAAATTATGACCTTATATTATTACCACCCCTAAAATTTACAATTTAAAAGTGAGGCCTAATTTCTATCATCTCCTCATTCCCTCCTTTTTTTTTCGTCCTCCTTTCTCATTACAAAGTTTTATTTTTTTTTTTTTTTTTGTACTCCTTCCATTACAATCTCACTCTTCCATCTGAACTCACTTTTATTCTCACGTATTTCGGTATTTTGGAAATCTTCAAAGATTTGAAGATAACAATTTTTTACAATATCGTTGCAGTGGACCAAAATTTTCTAATATTATGTTCTATTATTATTTCACTTAAATTATTTTATAGTTTTATTATTTTTTGTTCTCATAAAACTGTATTTTTTTATGAGTTGTGAAGATTTTTATTTATATTATTTAATATCTCTCCTGAAAATATTAATCTAAATATGAAAAACTTAAAAAGAAGAAAAGAATAGAAAAACTAATTTAAGAATCTAATTATTAACTTTGCATTCCAAAAAGCAAGAAGAATAGTTTTAAATAAACATTAGTACCTATTATTTTTTTTAAAATTATTTTTACATTATTAACTATTATTTAACACTCCCTGTCCCAAAATTTTTGGACAATTTTGTCTCCTTTTAAAATTACAAAATTACCCATTTAAAAGTAGTGTTTGTTGGGTAAGTTTTTAAAAAGTTGAGGATATTTTGAAAAGTAAATTACCTTTTTACATTGAGGGACAAGAATTTTATGACATTCAAAACTAGAAAGAATGTCAAAAAATTTGGGATTAATGAAGTATTCCATAATTAAAAAGTTATTTTTATATTTTTCACTTAGGACTCAAATTATATTGAGGTGCCCAAGTTTATATCATCCAAGTTAATGGCGTGGTGGACAGACTTTTTGATAGGCCCAGGGAGGTGGTGTGCCGTTGGCTCATGGCAAGGATAGTTAATTGACATTTTTTTTTCTTAGTGACAAGTGGTTGACTTATGCTAGTGGTATTGACAATTTTAGCGCGGATTGAGCTGGGTGGTGACTGTAATTGTTGTCAGATATCCCCTCCAAATTTTTTTGCAACTAAATAATGATAGTTTCCAAGTGTGCTACTGTAGAGAGGTTAAAAAAAAAAGGATTTTTTGTGTTGAAAAACTGTTATTTGAATTAATAGTGTGATGATGGGCTAAATGTAAGGTAGTTTCTAAACAGGTGTGTCAATGTTTAAATTTTTTATTTTAAAAAAATAAAAACAAAACAAAAAATCAAAAGTGGAATGATAAAGATGGATTTATGAAAGGTGTGGCTATAGAAGTGTCATGAATAGTGTGCTAAGGTGGATATATCAATAGCTAGGGTGATGAGGGCTTCAAGTTGGGGTGTGATATGGTGTGTGGATAAGATGGATTTATGAAAAAGTGAGATTTGAACCAACAGTGTGACGACTGATGAGAAAGAAGATGGATTTATGAAAAAGCAAGGGCTATAATTTATAAAAGGAGGCTTCAAGTTGTGATCTCACCTTTTCATATGGATTTATAAAAAAGCAAGGGCGATTCGGCGATCATCATTCATCACCCAATCATGCAATATGGACTGCATGCATAGACAATATGCATAAGTGTTACATGAACTTTTATATCACCACTGTTCCTAAGTTCTTAATATGATGAACATTACAAATTACCACACTCTGTGTTAATGCAAGTATTTGACATATTTTAATTTGAATCTACCAAGAAGATTAAACAAGTAAGAAATTACAATCTAGATCTTATTAGTCATAGACTTTGAATGTAGGTGATAGAAATATGTAGAGTATGAAGGTAAGTTTTTGCACTCACCTTAGTAGAAAATATAACATATTCCATATTGCATCTGAACTACTTAATAAAAAGTTAATCATTTTAGAAAATGGTAGTTATAAATTTATTTATCTTTTTTTTTTTTCATTTTTATGATATATTGATACTAATAATAAAATTTAGGTAAATATTATAATTAATATTTAGATAAGAGAAAAGATGATAATAATAAAATTTAATAAGAAATGAAAATTTTAATGAGAAAGGTAAAATAATCTTTTGTAAGGAGTTTGTCCTTAATTGCAATAAATCAATAATAAAGGGGCAAGTTTTTAGTTTCGGGGATTATTTGCATATTGACAATATAGTTCAAGGGCTTTTTTGCACTTTACCCTTATAATTATTCAATCAGTAAATAAACCTTCATGTTGTGTTCAGTAGGAAGGAAGGAAGAGGTGTGGAGAAGAAATAGGAAGAAAGTAATGAATTTCCTTTATTCGATAGAGATGATACAAGGAAAAAAAGAAAAATATGAAGGATGGGTCATCCTTCTTCCTTGCAAATTTTCATCTGTGAAAAAATGGGCAAAAAAAAAAAAGGAAAGACAATTGGACTATTATAGAAGTTTTAAATTAAATACTATCATAAATTATACCAGTTTTAATTACAGTATCATCTGTAAATATCGAACAATATTATAAATATTATTCGATATAATGATAAAAATAATTAAAACTTTCTATTTCCTTCTCTTTTACAAGAAACATAGTAAATTATGAGCTTATTCTTTTCTCTTATATTCAACGGTTAAAAAAAATAAAATAAAATACACAATTTCTTTCTTATGAATGCCTCGTTCATCCCTTCTTCTCTCTCTTTCATTCAATTTTTTTCTTTTCTATCGAGCAGAGCATGATGTAGTAAAATCTTTTGCACATTTTAGCAGTGATT